AAGGTAGCAGGTGCATTACATAAACCAAAAGGCATACCTCTATAAGCATAGGTTCCAAAAGGACAAGTAAAAGTGGTCTTTTCTTGATCAGGTTGAGAAACAGGTATTTGTGAAAAGCCAGAATATCCATCAAGGAAGCAAAAGTGTGTGTTCTTAGATAATCTTTCAAGCATTTAATCAATAAAAGGCAAAGGGTAATGATCTTTCCTAGTTGCTTTGTTCAATTTTCTAAAATCTATTACCAGTCTATAGCCTGTAACAATTCTTTGTGGAATAAGTTCATTCTTATCATTAGGAACAACACTTATACCTCCTTTCTTAGGAACACAATGAACATGACTTACCCATCTACTATCAGCTATAGGATAGATTATACCCGCTTCCAGAAGTTTTAATATTTCCGTTCTTACCACTTCTTTCATCTTTGGATTTAACCGACATTGGTGATCAACAACGGGTTTAGCATCAGGTTCCATATTAATTCTGTGCTGACATAGAGTGGGACTAATGCCCTTTAAAACATCAAGAGTATATCCAATAGCAGCTCGGTGCTTCCTCAGAACTTTCAATAATCTTTCTTCTTCATGTTCTAAAAGGTTAGCACTAATAATAACATGATATATTTTCTTTTCATCAAGATAAGCATATTTCAAAGTGTCTGGCAATTGTTTTAATTCAAACACAGGATCACCTTTAGGTGGAGGAGGACCTCCTAGAGTTTCAATAGGCAAATTGTGTTTAAGCAGAGGACGTTGTTCAAAGAAAATTTTATCTATTTCATTTTGTTCATGCATATGTAAATCATTTTCATGGTCTAGCAAATATTGTTCTAAAGGATCAATAGGTGGAACAACAATAGAAGCAAGACCAATTAATTCATCCTTACTAGGCAATTCTTTTTCATGAAGCTTTCTACTAAACTTGGAAAAATTAAAGAGACTCATCACCAAAACTAACACCGACAGTTTGTTTCTCACAATCTATCTTAGCATTAACGGTGTTCAAGAAAGGTCTACCAAAGATAATGGGACAAAAGTCATCTTGTGGGAAACCAAGGACAAAAAAATCAGTAGGGTGTTTTATTTTTCCACACAAGACTTCAACATCTCTAACAATCCCAATCCGTGATATAGTGTCTCTATTAGCAAGTTCAATGGTAACATCTATGTCTTCTATTTCTGCAGGTGCTATGTCATTCATAATTTCTTGATATAATGTGTAAGGAATATCACTCACACCAGCACCTATATCACATAAACCATGATAACCGTGATCTCCTATTTTAACTGAGACAACGGGTATGCCAACAACAGGTTTATGTTTATCCTTTTTATCAGGTTTGGCAATTCTAGCAGCTTCTTCACAGAAGTAAATAGCATGCCCGTCCATATCTTCTTCCAAGAGATCTTTAACCATAGCAATACCAGGTTCTACTTTGATTTGTTCATAAGGTTTAGGTGTTCTAATATAGCTTTTGTTAACCACAGTTGAAACTTTAGCATGTTCCTTTATCCTAGCAGAGAAAGGTGGTTTCTCAATATAAGTAGAAGGAACAACTGGATCAACATTATAAAGTATAGTTTCTTCTTTAACTGGTACCGGTTCTTTAGTTTATTCTTTAATAGGTGGGTGATATTTAAACCACTTCTCTTTAGGGAGTTCAACATGAGTAGCAAATGATTCACAAAAGGAGGCTACTATCTCAGAGTCAAGTCCATATTTAGTGCTAAACTTTTGAAAAGCATCGGTATCCATAAAAGATTTAACATAATCATACTTAAGTTTAATACCTGACTCTTTACCGTTGTCGAGCTCCCAATATTCAGAGTTGCATTTAATTCTTTCCAAAAGATCCCACCGGAATTCAATAGTCTTCTTCATAAAATAACCAACACAAGAAGTATCAAGCATGGTTTGATCATTACGAGAAAGCCGAGCATAAATTTTTTGGATAATAATTTCTCTTGAGAGCTCATGATTGGGACATGAATATAACATTGAATTGAGCCTCCCCCAAGCTAGAGCGACACTTTCTCCTTCATGAGGCCAAAAATTATATATATAATTCCGATCACGATGAACTAGATGCATAGGATATTTGTTTGATGGAACTCCAATTTCAAATGATTCCAATTCCATGATCCAATATCCTCACATAGCCTATACCATGCCAATGCTTTTCCCTTCAAAGATAAAGGGAAAACCTTTTTCATAACTTTGTCTCCGGGTAAACCTGCAAGCTTGAACAATCCACAAATTTGTTCTACATATATCAAGTGCATATCAGGATGTTCGGTTCCATCTTCTGCATAAGGATTAGCTAGCAGTTGTTCTATCATACCCGAAGGAATTCCATATTCAATATTTTCAGTAGGTGCAGTAGGTTGAGGGGTAGCTAATTGTGGTTCCGGTCGAGGTGAAGATACCCCAAACAAACCCCTCAAAGGATTGTTTTCCATAGTAACAAATGACAGTAAATTTCAGCACACTATATAAATGTTTCCTTACCAATTTCCACTTACCAAAGGCGCTTCACTCCCCGGCAACGGCGCGAGAAAATAGCCTTGATAACCCATAAGTATAGGGGATCAATTGTAGCTCTTTTCGATAAGTAAGAGTGTCGAACCCAACGAGGAGCAGAAGGAAATGACAAGTGGTTTTCAGCAAGGTAATGTCTGCAAGTGCTGAAATTGTAAGTAACAGAGTAGTTTGATAGTAAGATATTGTAACGAGCAAGTAATGATCATAGTAACAAAAGTGCAGCAAGGTATCCTAATCCTTTTGTGGCAAAGGACATGCCAAAACGGTCTCTTTTGATAAGCAAAGTGTTCTTGAGGGTACACGTGAATTTCATCTAGTCACTTTCATCATGTTGGTTTGATTTGTGTTCGGTACTTTGACAATTTGATATGTGGGTGGATCGGTGCTTAGGTGATGTTCTTACTTGAACAAACCTCCTACTTATGGTTAACCCCCTCGCAAGCATCCGCGACTACGAGAAAAGTATTAAGGATAAATCCTAATCATAGAATTAAACTTTTGGATCCAATCGGTCCCTTACGGAATAGCGCATAAACTAGGGTTTAAGCTTCTGTCACTCTTGCAACCCATCATCTAATAACTACTCCATAATGCATTCCCTTAGGCCCAAATATGGTGAAGGGTCATGTAGTCGACGTTCACATGACACCACTAAGAGAATCACAACATACATACTATCAAAATATCGAACACATATCAAGTTCACATGATTACTTGCAACATGATTTCTCTCGTGACCTCAAGAACAAAAGTAACTACTCACAAATGATAATCATGCTCAAGATCGGAGGGGGTATTAAATAATATATTGGATCTGAACATATAATCTTCCACCAAATAAACCATATAGCAATCAACTACAAGATGTAATCAACCCAGTAGTCACCCACAAGCACCAATCTATAGTTCCGGTAACATGATTGAACACAACAGATGAATTAGGGTTTGAGGTGAGATGTCGTTGTTGAAGATGTTGATGGAGATTGCCCTTCTCAAGATGGGAGAGATGTTGGTGATGATGATGATGATTTTCCCCTCCGGGAGGGAAGTTCCCCCGACGGAATCGCTTCGCTGGAGGGCAAAAGTGCTCCTGCCCAAATTCCGCCTTGAGAAGGTGGCGCTTCGTCCAGAAAGTCCTCTCTTTATTTTTTCTAGGTCAAAATGACTTATATACCAGAAGATTGGCACCGGAGGTGGGCCTGAGTGAGCACAACCCACCAGGGCGCGCCTGGGCTCCCTGGCGCGCCCAGGTGGCTTGTGCCCACCTAGTGGGCCCCCTCTGGTACTTATTGGCTCCAGTATTTCTCATATATTCCATAAAAAAATCTCCGTAAAGTTTCAGCTCTTTGGGAGTTGTGCAGAATATGTAGCCTGACGTAGTTTCTTAAGGTCCAGATTTCCAGCTGCCGGAATTCTCCCTCTTTGTGTGTACCTTGCATATTATGAGAGAAAAGACATTAGAATTACTCCAAAAAAGCATTATTATGCATAAAAATATCATAAATAATAGTAGGACAATATGATGCAAAATGGACGTATCAGTTAGCGCGGGTTAGACGAATTGCAGACTTTGGATGAATCACTTTAAAAAATTAGAACTCGGATGTGCATTTTAAAAGTATTAAGACCCAGTAAACACTTCACCGAAAGAATCATGACCGCCCATGCATTTTTTTGAGTAAAATACATTGATGGTCATTTAACTTATCATGTACGCTCACTTTGGTTACTGTACTTAAGAATACGATTAATACAGTCACTATATACGTGTTGAAGTGATTATAAGGTCATTGCCAAATTGTATAGCTCCGTATTCCAGCTATTTGACCGGTCAAACAATCCACATGGCGCCTCGTCAGCTCATTTTCTCTCTCGATCTATGTGGGCCCTACCTGTCAGTGGGTGGACAAAGAAAGGAAAATAAGATTCAGTCCCGAGACCTCACACTTATGGGCCAACTGCACCCGTCTCACCAGGTGTCCAACCAGAGGAAGAAATCATTTTACTCGTTCAACCATTCACGTAACAACCACTAGGATTTTTCTTTGGACTCTACAAGGCGTCATGTGAATTGTTTGACCGGTCAAATAAATAAAATACAGATCTATATGGTCTAGATGATCGTATAATCATCTCAATACATATAGAGAACTGCATTGATTGTATTCTCAAGTACCGAAACCAAAGTAAGCATACATGATGATTTTTTTTAGACATACATACACGATAAGTTCAATGACCACTAATGTATTTTTTCTTTTTTATTGCCCATGCATTTTACTTACTACCAAACACACCCGAGCATCTCCAAACCCCTTCTTCCCTTTAAACCCCTACCCTCCCTTTCCGCCGCTTTGCTGCTACCTATCCCCTTCCCTCCCCTCCCCACGCCGCACGGCCCCGCCAGTCCTCGCTTCCACGCTCCTAGGGTTTTTAGCCGCCGCCGCGCCTCCCCGAGCATGTCGGCGCCGCCCTCTCTCAAGTCCCCGGCCACCGCCGCCTTCCTCGCCTCCCCATGCTTGGCCGTCGCCCCGAGAGCCGCCGTGCTCGGCGCCACTGCGCAGCCGCCGCGACGCCTAAGCTGCTCTGCAGCCGTTGGAGCCGAAGCCAGGGATCTCGAGGTGGCGAGGGATACCTTCCCGAAGTACTCGCCGTTCCATTTTATTTAACCAGTGATGATGGTTGCTTATGAGATGCGTTCCGTGCGTTCGTTGATCAGATGAGTGCTCCCCTGGACTGGGCGGCGAGGTCGGTGGGGGAGCTGGAGCAAGCGACAGACCTGGACACTTTCTGTATGATGGCGCTATCACCTCTGGACGGCCGATACTTCAGATTTATTAAGGACTTGATGCCCTTCTTCAGTGAGTTCGGCCTCATCAGATACCGCGTCTTAGTCGAGGTTCGGCTCTTCGAATAGCATCCGCACTGTGCGTGTATTATATTATATCTACCATGTCTGTATAATCTTGACTCGTGTGGATATGTTCGGTTGCTAGTGTGCCATGGTCAATGCTACGTAAATGAAGTGGTTTTTAGTTCTGTAGGTCAGATGGTTGCTGAAGCTTTCTCAAATTCCTGAGGTCAAGGAGGTGCCGCCGTTTAGTGAGGAGGCCCAACTATTTCTGGATGCAATCATCCAAGATTTTAGCATCAATGATGCTAAAGAGGTGAAACAAATTGAGAAAATAACTAACCACGATGTGAAGGCTGTTGAGTACTATCTGAAGCAGAAATGCAGCTCAAATCCAGAGGTTGCAAAGGTATACGCTGATTTTCATTTTTGAAGGCAGATGTTGATATGTGTGTGTTCACTTTCCTTAGTGAAGTCAACTATCATTCTGATCATGTTTTCCCAGGTTTTGGAATTCTTCCATTTTGGATGCACTTCTGAAGATATCAACAACTTGTCACATGCATTAGCTCTAAAAGAGGGGGTAAACACAATTATGTTCCCTGTGATGATCGATGTATGCAGTGCAATATGTTCCTTGGCAACGGAAAATGCACACGTCCCTTTGCTGTCTAAAACTCACGGACAGGTATTTAGAGCCACCTTTTAGCTTTTGAATATCTTTATTAATATATGCTTGTGTATGTAATAGTGTGAGATTAATGAATATCTGAATTATTGTTTCTTCATATTCATATGTGCTAATCCTTTTGAGTCAGTTTGGTGCTTGTTTTGCAGTAGATTTGACCATGTGTGACTCAACTGTTCTATTATGTAACATGTGCTACAAAAACTTACTCGAGCTTTGTTATATTTGCTTGCTATTGCTGCAATAAGAGGGCATGAATAGATATAACTCCTGCACAGCATACAAAGAATGGAGCAAATTCAAAAGTCTGCTGTTCCTAACTCCCAAGTCGATAGGGGTTGAGTTGACAAGAAATTTAACTTTCTTTTAAAACGGCAAATAGGAATAAAATCGATCCTACCGTTACATATTGTTTCTGGCCTAAACCTTGTGTAATTGTTTCTTTCATTTTTTTGGACAAATATCCTCTTTGTTTTTACCATATTCTATAAATAAACCACTTTTGCTAAAAATATTAGGTGAAAAACTTTATTCAGTATTGCTGCAGTTCAGAGTTTAGCAGTTTAGCACAATGGTCTATATGTAATAGTCGAACTTAATAGACAACACTGTTCATTGACATGAGGCTTCCATTTTCCTGACATGGACTGCTCAAGCAAGATGCCAAGATCTAGCCTTTTGTTGCTGATATGCCTGGAATACTAGCTTAAAATTTTCAGCTTCCCATTTGTAGCCGGCATCACCAACAACTCTGGGAAAAGAGATGGCAAATTTTGCAGCCAGATTATCTGATATCGGGAAGAGTTTTTCTGAGGTTAAGATACTAGGGAAATTTGCTGGCGCTGTTGGAAATTACAATGCTGATGTAGTTGCATATCCGGAAATTGACTGGCCTAAGATGACAGAAGAGTTTGTCAGGTCCTTAGGTTTGGAGTTCAATCCTTACGTTACTCAGGTGATTGTTTTTTCACTACATTGTCACTTCATTGTTCCTTACATTTTTACATCTTGGGAATCATTTTTTCTGTGGAGATATGACTTGTGTCAGAACGCACTGGCAGTATGATGAGCCTATGGCACTCGCTTAAACTACTATTTACATTTCTATCAGCATTATTTGTTCTGATGCAGTATTTATTCTCTTTGCAGATTGAACCTCATGACTATATCTCAAAGCTCTTCAATCTATTTGTCCAGTTTAACATTGTCTTGACTGATTTTGACAGAGACATGTGGTCTTACATATCAGCAGGCTACTTCAAGCAGGTAAAGCTATGAAGAGTAGACTATCGTCGAAGAATTTGATTTGATACTGCGAGAAAGAACCTACTCATATTGACTTATTGTCTCCATTTCAACTTACTCCGCATTCCCCCATATTGTTTCAGATACCAAAGGCTGGTGAAGTTGGATCCTCCACCATGCCTCACAAAATCAATCCCATCAACTTTGAAAATAGTGAAGGCAATCTTAGCGTGTCGAATGGTCTTTTATGTACTTTAAGTATGAAGCTACCAATATCAAGGTTGCAGGTAATGTTATCACTTCTACACTTGAATTTCCCCTTCTTCATTCGTCAGCAACTGAATTAAATTGTGTTATTTGGATGTTGAATACCCATGCCAGACAACAACTTAATCATTGTATTTAGATTCTATTGAAGTATTGGTATCTTGAACTAATGAACTGCCATGGTACATCAATGACAGCGTGATCTCACAGATTCAACTGTTTTGAGAAACTTGGGTGTTGGATTAGGGCATTCACTCTTGGCTTACAAAGCAACAATGCAGGGAATCAAGAAGCTAGAGGTAGGTGTCTTAAGACTTGGTCCTTTTAGC